TTCCTGCCTAAAAGGTTACTGAACTAATCCTCCTCTCTCAAATTTCATAATGTAATATACACAGTATGGCTAAATCTCTGTTCATTATAGCAGGTTCTCAAAGCATTCAGGGAAATCATTAAGATTATGTTCATTATGAGCCCTATTATTGCACTACACAGCAAAACTAATTAAATAAAGAAAGCTGACATGAATAAAATCATTAAACACTCATCTTGGCTTTATTTGAGACTGTACCAGCCTGAGTTGCATTTCAGGACAGAGGGAGCCAGGCAGTGAGCTAGAGGCCCATACGAAAACTGCATCCCTCTAGGAAACTCAATAAGCCTTAATCAAAATGAAACTCCGAATTTCAATAGATGCCTCCTGTTCTTAGGAGGTTCCACCTGACTGGGATTTTCAGCACTGCACTCAGAGTTTATTACTCAGACGGGAGGAAATCATGGGCCAGGATGCCACAATGATCTTATTTTGAGAATCTGATGCTAGAAACCAGCAACCCCACAATTACTATAATCTTGCTGGTAAATTTTACTGGGTGGCCTTGCACAGGTCTCAATTTCCCTGGGACAAGTTTATCCGAATTGGTTGCATGAAAAAATTGTTCTACCTTAACAGCAGACTGTGAAAAAGAAAGGTTAGCTAAAGTTTGTAAAATACAATGTGAATAAAATACATATATTGGGTACATCAAACTTAGATTATTATTATCTGGAAGTGTCCAGTCTGAAGTCCTTTTGATTTTAAGAAGATTTGATCACACTGTAACATAGCCCTTGTTGTAAGGACTAGAATTTGTTGCAGCTAAAAACCACGCAGACTTTATAAATAGCTGTAATACATACAACAAAGAGTTATCTCACGTCTAAATACAGGCATTATTTTTCAAATGTGTCATGAAGGATACATATAAATACTTGCTTATCCCTCTCTCTCTCTCTCCTTCTTTTGACAGAAACGTCATGGTAACTCAACAATGACATTACATCCGCTCCAGACTCGCTGCTCTCCTCGCAACCACCTCTGTGCTCTGCAGCCCCAGTGGATCCCCCGCTCGCCCCAGACCCCGAGGAGCTGCACGGTGAGGTGTGGTGTGTGAACAAAGGTCTGGCAGGCGTACGCAGGGTCCTCACGCGCCCTGTCAGGGTTCACAACCACAGCTCTGCAGCTCCTGTTCTTCTCTGCTTCAGAGATTCTGATCCCTCCCTGGTGGACTGCAGAAACCTTTACTCCACCAACACACTTGCCAGGAGCAAAATCCTGGCCCCTGCTTAAATAAAAAACAAAATTCCTAGTGACTTCAGTCAAACAGGGTATTCATTCCAGATTTTCAGATTTTATTCTGAAGCTGATACCAGAAAATCAACAAAACGAGCTACTTCCTGTAGCCTGACAGGGTAAAGATGCATTTAAGCATTTAAAAATCACAAAAAAGCCTGCAGAAAAATATGCTTCGTGTTTACCAAATGCTTTCAACAAAATTCATCAAAGTGCAATGATCGTGCATTTTAAATTTTAAATTCTACCAGCCCTTGGCAGATGGATGCCTGGTTTGCCAATACCATTATCAGTCTTCATGCACTAACATTCTCTATGGTCCATTTTCTCTGAATATTTCTATAAACTTTCTAAACTTGCCCTTCACAATCGTAATTTTATTGGTAGTAAAAAAGACCACAAAGGATTATGGATACATTAGAAATTTAATGGGCAAACATGCGCTTTCTGTGGCTCAGTGGAAATTACTGGAAGCTTATATATAAAAGTGTTTATTCCTAAGTGTGCAGTCCAAGAATGAATTTACAGAATGTGTGTATGAACATGTACACACATAACCTATATGAAAACATATAGGAAAATAATTACTAGAGCTCCATTTTAAAAATATATATTTTTAAATAAAATACTACATTAAGCTTGATTGCAGTTTAAAAATGAAAACCATTATAAATCGAGATATTTCAATACCTGTAGAATAAATTCATTAAGGCTGCTGACATTATCTATGGCTAATATTGACCGAAGTTCAATTTCTAAAATTTGAGACAGAAATAATTAGTGTAAATGGAAAGCATGGAGTGGCATAATGGCTTAAAGCAGTCTAATGTTTCCTACCCAGTAAATCAAATCTACGTTTCATTCCATTACAACAGATCTTTTTTAAAGGAAGTTCTTTGCCTCAAGATATGTTTGTTTTTTGTTTTTTTTCCCCTAACATGGCAATTCATGGACATGCTGCTGAGAACTGTTACATGAGACCAGACACGTTTGCAAAAGAAGGTATCTTTGGGCTTTATTCAAAGGTTAGGACGAGCTCCTCACCGAGGGGTTCAGCCACCAGCTGACTCAGTCACATCTGTCAAGAGCTGTAGATGAAGCAGGGTGTGACTGCGCATTCGGTGCGTTCAAACGCAGACACAGCTTGTTTAAGCAACAGCTTTGGGTGGCTGCGCCCTACAGACCGCACCGGGGGAGAGCGGATCATGGACAAATGTCATGTTTTGAAGAATGCCCACATCCAGCTCTTGTGCACTGCCCACAGCACAGCCTCGCTCTGCGGCTGCGGCCAAAGAATCCTTCCAGCAAATCTTAACAGCAGTTTTGCTCATTTAGGTCCTTGACAGCAGAACTAAGCACAGTGACAGTGTTACTGCCCTCGGCGAGAGAGGCAGCTGAGCTTTCCGGCAGTTCTCTCGGCATGGTGTAATCTGGGCTCTTTATGAGTGTTTACGGTTCGCAAGCGGCAGGCTTCTCTGCAGACCCCAACCAGCACCCGTCAGGCTCACACCACTCACCACAGGAGCGTGACCCCGGGTTTACGGTCAGACCTGAGGGCTACCGAGGGCAGGGGATTCCCAGAGATGAATCGACACAGGCGCTCTCCAACGCAGTGCCCCAGAACGACAGAACTTGTGTAACTCTCACCATTTCGCAGTAACCGGGATCATTCTGAGCGAGGCGAGCCCAGGGAATGACAGCACATGGCAGAGGACACGACTCTCGGCAGGGATGTGAGGAGTTGCCTTTTACCCATCTGGGTTGCAGCTGGGCCAGCACATCTGAGCAGCCTAGGGCAGGACAGTAGCACGCCAGGAAAGAAAATCTGAAAGAAATACTGTAGGAAGCACTTCATACCCCTCCTCGTGCACGTGCTGGACACACTGAGCCTGAGACAGCCTCTGACCCAGGTGCCAGGCGTGGGAGTCTAAGACGACAACCAGGATTCCACTTCTGTTCTTTTTTTTTTCTTGGAAGAATGCTCCTTCCAAGACCATAGCAGCTGCTTTTGCATCAAGTCTATCTCAACACCTTCCAGAACCTGCTTAGTCAGTATGCTTTTCCTCATTCTTTTTTCCCATTACTTATGTGTCAGAAGCAAAGCCATTTTCTATTTATATCCAGATTGCTTTCAGTAATGAAATCAATATTCGGTACCCAGGGAATTCAGAATAAATGCAATTGTAACAGTTTAAGTGAATAATCATGTTAAAAGAATGCAACTTTATTTTATTGTTACTAAACATCCAGAAAGCTTGTCTAGCAGTACAGCAATCGTCAGAGAAGTCTTTTCAAAACAAAGTTTGGTCTCCAACTGAAGATGCAAAGTCTATGTCAAACATTCATTTTTCCCAAAACATTTTGTAGACTCTAACAACAGATGAACAGATTACGAAGAGGTTGATATACGAGCCACAATTTCATGCACCATGTTCTATGACTATTTTTACTTTGTGACTTTAAGCATTTGTCTTGGACCTTAATGTTCTCAAATATACTGCTGTTTCCGTTGTTAAACTAGTATTTCATAATGACTTTTAAAACCTCTATTTGCTTAGAAATTCTCCTTATTCCCTTGAAGGCGACCTCAGCAAGTCCCAACCTCCCTATCCAGCTCCTTTGTATTTCTTCCTGCTCAAAAGAGATCTTCAGGAAAAATACTATGTCTCTTGAAAGGTTTCTTTATCCATGAGGAAGAAACTTGGTGAAGGTTAAACCAGCTTGGGTAATATTCAGGAGATACTACACCACTACCTGGTAGGTGGCATAAGAAAGATGCTGTTAGGGAATTCAGTCAGTAGGGAGATAAACACTGTTACAATGAAAAACTACAAAACCCATGAAAACCCATAGATAAAGGCAACAGAAAAAGATGCATTATGTGTGCAGTCAAATTACATTGACATAATACACAGCACATTCCTAAAAATAGCATGAAATGGAAAAATTTAAAATGCAGTCATTATAGAAGCAAAATGAAAAATAAATTATTTGAGGTGTCTGAATATAAACTTAGTGTGAACAAGCTTTTTTCCACCTTGCAGCAGTGAAGTATATACTGATAGTTTATGTAATGAGCTGTTAAAAACACAGAGGAACACAGAGTTGGACAGGATTGCACAGCATCTAATAGTAAAAAAATAAAATAATCACTATGTCTTGATGACAGGTTTTCACTCCAAGATTATTAGTCACAAAGGAAAGAATGATCGTTCATGCAAGTCGTTTTCCTCTGATGAAAAACAAGTATTAAAAAAAAAAATGTTTAAGACAGGATGTCTTGATTTAAAAAGTACTTTTAATAAATTTATCGCCAGCTATTTGAAACCCTACTGTTCCTACATCATTCCATGTGGCTGGTTCTACTTTAAAAAACTTTTAAAGCAGTTAGTCAAATTTCTAATTAATTTGTTCTGTATCATACTCTTACTGACAAAGACTACAAAACATAATAATAGCACCCCAAGAAAACTCAGCAATTAGTATTTTCAGAGATCTGAAATATTTAATTCTTCCATTAAAAGAATAGTTAATCTGCGTTTGCTGCATTATTAATGTTATGCTACAACAGCACTGCTAATACAAATTTCGTTATTTCTACTTCAATGAAATTAGAGAAAAGATCTGTCCACTTTTTTCTTATGATTTTTACAAGCTGGGAAGTAATCAATCATCCGCAAATTAAATCAGGAAATTTGTTCAATTACTGTTCCTCCTACAAATCAAGACTTCTCTTTTTGTCTTTGTAGATGGATTTTGTCATAAAGTTGCTTCCTAAACTTCAACATGTCTTCTACATCTTTGTAGGTGAGCATTTCTTCAACAGACAAGAGCTTAAAGCCATTCAATATAAAAGCTGACATGTGCTGCACAGAACTTAACATTTTTAATGACATTCTAACTGATTCACTTAAAGTAGAACAAACAGGAAAAATCCTAGCAGTCCACAGCCCCAAACGTGTGCTCTCGCTGGAGAAGAGCTGGTCTGAAACCTTCATACCCCAGAGGTCCAAGCACTCTAGTAAGCTGACTCCAAAAAACTGGAGTGAATGTATATCTGACAGCAATTTCACACTCTTTTTCAGGTCGTCTTCTACACCGAACACCATACTTGCATACTTTACTTGATTGTTCATTTTGATACTTAATGAACTCAGAAAACAGTTTGCAGGTATGTCTACTTTCCAATTTATGTGTGATCCACTAATAATGCTGTTCTCCCCTACAGAGACTTCAGGTCCAATTCTAGAGTACTCAATAACGGATCCTGGCCCTATGAGACACCCGGGCTCCAGCACGCTTTGGATGATACTTGCTGACTGAGTCAAGGTCTCGCCTTTGCCACAAAAGATACTAAAAGCCACAGGCTGTAAGTTGAGCTCAAATTTCAGTTTGCTGTCAGATGCCAAATGAAGCAAATACTCTTGAGTAGTTCCAATGTGATAGAACTTGGAGTTGTTTAAGACTATAACGTTAAGCGCAGTTCCCTTCAGGAGAGAGTAGAGCTTCTGCCGAACTTCTACCAACTGCGATTCCTCTTTTGTGACGTTACTGGTGTTTTTTGTGTAATCCTGAGTAGCCCCGGGTCCCAGGGCCTGGAGGAAGTCACCATATGCATCTATTTCACAGCAAAGAGTGCCCATCTGCTTATAAAACATCAGTAATTGCTTTGCAATGCTATGATCCATGTAAAATATGCTGTCTGTATACACACACTCCGAGTCCATTTCTGAGTCACTGTGGTCTCCGGAGGAACTTGGCTGAGGACAGTTCCGTCTCACGCATACTGCGCCGCAGCGGCGCATCGTCTCAACAGCCGGCTTGTGCAGGAAACGACGGCAAGACGTGTATTCGAGCCCTCCTTTTCCTGAAAAACTGGATGGATCTAAAACAAACACTCCGTGCGTGGTCCCGACGGTCAGATCCGACGGGTGAGCTAAGGCGGTAAATCCAGGTTTATCAAACGCGACCGTCTCCGTAACCCCAGTGCTGTAAAGTTCGATGTCATCTGAACACGTAACGAGAATTCCCGGTTTCATGTGACTGGGGAAATCAATGTACATGGCAAGCTTCAGTTCCAACATCTGGTAAATGGGGTCACCAAAAGGCAAAGCTGTGAAAATCTTTCCGAGGGCACTTGCATTTGGTAAACGTTGACTGTAACCACCTTGAAGAAAAAGACATTTTTAATTATAGAGACACTATATAAGTAAGCAAAACCTAAAGCTATGCAGCTATGTTATATATACACAAAGGCATAGACCTGCCCCGCCCCCAGCTTGCTCATATGCTAAGTATTCCCCCAAAAATGACACATTTAAAAAAAATCATCAATCATTCTTCTTCAAACATTTCTCAAAGCAGATGTGACCTTATGTCCAAACTTTGGCAAGCCTTAAATGGCTTATATCAAAATTGTGGTCGATTTCATTACCTTTGGTTTGGGGTGGAACACGGACCACTTGCCCATAACTAAAGTGAGGAAAGCAAATGACGCCTGGTATTCGCTTGAAGAAAAGGAGGACCCCACACCCCTGCTGGGAATTTTAAGGCAGAGATGGGTCAAATTAGCAGCGGTTTGGTCAGGTGACTTGTTACTAGCTGAGTTCTTTCTCCTCTGCAAAACTGATGCCCCTTCTGGAAGTGTTCTGACTAGCTGGATAAGAAGACAAGTCTTCAGTCTGTCTCTAGTCATGAGGACTCCCAGGCCTCCCCCAGAGAGGGACATGCTCCTTACATGGATGTTTCAAGGCAGAAGCTTAATTCAGATACTGTCAATTACACTTCTTCCTCCACTGTTTGACTGAACAACTTAAGTGATGAGAAGAAATGCCTGACACGTATCTCCTAAGTATCAATCTAAATTCAAATGATCAGATTGGATATATTTGGGATTACTTTTTTGAGGGAACTGTATTGCACAACTCTGACTCCTTCTCTGCCATTATATTATTTTTAGGAAAAAAAAGGGGGGTAGGGGGAGGGGTGTACAACTTCAGAATGTGAAATGTAAAATAGAATTTACCAGAATGAATTAGCAGCACAGTAAAAGTAGTCCATTTATCACCATATAGATCTTCCAAGCATCGAAGAACGTGAAGTGTTGACCCACCATTTCCTAAAGAAAAAATATTTTAGTATCTTCTGAAAAGATGATGGGACAGTCACTTTGGAAGCCTTGTGCAGCCAGAGGGGAGGGCACCTGGAGCAGAGGCACTGCTGACTTGAAACACTGACATTTTGACTTTTGACATTTACAATATGGAAATGAGAAAAAAAGTTTGGGGCATAGGAAATGGTTTGGGATATTCTTATGTGCTCCTACAACTTAAAATTGCTCCATTTCTGAAAACCTGTCTCTGCCTATTATTCAATGCTGCAGACAGATTACTGAGATTAGTTACTTTCTACAGCAAAGTGAACAGGAATTAAGAATTATAGGAAGATATTCTGGACAGTGTGAGACAGAAAAGCGAGAATTTTGTCTCACCCATTCTGTTGTAAAAAGACTAATTGTCTCAACGGATAAGCAGCCTTGCAAATCAAAGGGTGAGTAGCCTTGCTGATAATTAGAGATGAGCTCACATCTTCCAGGTGTCCGGTCAGAGAAGCTGTGGGATGCTCGAAGGACACCCCACTGACTCCCTGGTGGGTAAGGAAATCCGAGGGGCCCACAAAGTGACCCAATGACTGCTGCATGTGCACAGAGATGGTGACCACCCCCACCGCTTCTACTGCCACAAGGGAGACAGCCCCTGCCACTTCTAATGCAAAATAACATCACACCACCTGTTGCTCCATAAGCCGATTTAAGAAAGTCAGGTGGAGACCTGAGAACTTTTGTCTATAAAAAGGTGAATTAACAACAGGAGGGAGCATGCCTGCTGCCCAAAGATCCCCGAGGAGCTGGAATGAACTTTGCTGGAACCAAGGGGTTGTGAGTCTCTGGAAACTTTCCTTTCTCTCTCCTTTTTCTCTTTTCCCTTTTGTAATCTTCCTTTTCCTGGAAACTTTTCCATCTCTCTCCTTTTTCTCTTTTGATCTTTTCTTTCCCAGCTTAACTAAGTTCCTGGCACATAAGGGTAACACTGTTATAAGTTTTGGATTGCTGTAAGCTTTGGTATTACCCGGTGATGGCAAGTTTTGATAGTTACTGTTTAGTTCACTGTAAGTGATTAACATTGCTGGTGTTTCCTAAATCACTGCAGGTCTGTCAGTATCAGTAGGGTGCGTGTAAGTTTCCTTTGCCAAGTCATTTGCACTGTTGTGAGTTTTCCTTGCCAAGACATCTCCCTTTTGTAACGCTGTTATGCTTTATTATAACACCCTTTGATAAATCATAGTTTAATAGAACCTCTCGAAGTAGTTGTCATCACTACCTCGCAGAGATCCAGAAACCACCTCCTGCTAATCCCGCCTGAGCGGGGCAGGACAGACAGTCCAACCGCTCTCTCCTAGGTGTGTGCTGTGCACTGGGCAATATATTTAAACACATTTAAACTGTTTAGGCCGTCAGGTTGCGGTAAGAAGTACGAATTTCTAAAGGATACGGGTCGGTGATGTTCCGTCCGGTACCCTTGGAGGAGCCGGCAGAGCCGGCGAGGGGTGCGCACCGATTTTCGGTCCGGGCGGATCCACGAACACATGGTAGCGGGTGCCCAGCGGCAGCTCCTCCCGGCTCAGCTTCCCGGCCAGCTGCTGCCGGTAGCCCAGCGCCTGCTCCGCGTCCGCGGCCGTCACCGCCACCACGTCCCAGAACTGGCCGGGGCGGGCGGCCCTTCCTGCGGGCAGAGCGGCTCCGCGTCAGCACGGCCCGGCCGAGGCCCCAGCGCTCCCCAGGCCCCGCGGGACTCGCTGCCCCG